TTTCCGCAATGTGGATGCAACCAAAAAGTGATGATCAGAGTGGATCATTTCCACAACGTGGCTGCATTTCCACCAAAAAGGGGTGTCAAGCCGGATCATTTCTGCAGCGCGGATGCATGCATGCATGCAGCCAGCCTTAGTGGGAATGGAAGGAGAGTTTTTACCTGTAAAGGAAAGCCCCAAAAGCTCCCAGAAGAAGAAGGAGAAGGAGAAGAAGGAGGAGGAGAAGCAGCGTCCGTCGTCGGTGGAGGGTCGAGGGCTGGAGGCGGCGATGCGATGCTGCGCTCCCATTCGGCGCAAGGCGGAAGAGAGGCGCCTCAATCCCGGGCAAAGGCTGGCACTCCCTCCCTTGGCATCAGGCTCTCCCTCCTCGGCTCTGGCAGGCAAAGCGACTTCCAGGAAAGAGGAGGAGGAGGAGATGGAGATGGCAAACCCCTCCCTGCCTCCTCCTCCTCCTCCTCTCCCTCCCTTTTGGACCCTTCTGGTGTGTTGTGTGTTGTGTGTGTGTGTGTGTGATGCGCTTTCACAAGTCAGCCCCGACTTATCCCTCACCGACCCTAAGGCAAATGGTGGGGGTTTTTTTGGCAAGAAAGAGCTGTTAGTTTAGGAAAGGGCAGGTGCTGGTGAAAGATATTTCAGGTTCAGAGGAGGTTTTGCCATTGCCTTCCCCTGAGGCTGAGAGAGTGTCACCCCTTGGGTTTCCATGGCCAAGAGGGAAATCAAACCCTGGTCTCCTGAGTCCAGTCTCCAGTAGCAGGAGTCACCCAGTGCAGTAGTCCAGCACTACTCCAGAGCAGTAGTCCAGCACTCAACTACTATCCTGGGTTTTGGGGGATTATTATTATTATTATTATTATTATTATTATTATTATTATTATTATTATTATGGCAAGATTTGTTCAGAGGAGGTTTTGCCATTGCCTTCCCCTGGGTTTACGTGGGAATCGGTCCCTGGTTCCTGGTCTCCAGAGCAGTAGTCTAACACTCAAACCACTATCCTGGGTTTGTGTGTGTGCAAGATTTGTTCAGAAGAGGATTTGCCATTGCCTTCCCCTGAGGCTGAGAGAGTGTCACCCCTTGGGTTTCCATGGCCGAGAGGGAAATCAAACCCTAGTCTCCTGAGTCCAGTCTCCAGTAGCAGGAGTCACCCAGTGGGTTTACATGGCCAAGCTGAGAATCGGTCCCTGCTCTCCAGAGGAGTAGTCCAGCACTCAGCCACTATCCTGGGGTTTTGGGGATTATTATTATTATTATTGGGCAAGATTTGTTCAGAGGAGGTTTTGCCATTGCCTCCCACTGAGGCTGAGAGGGTGTGACTCGCCCAAGGTCACTCAGTGGGTTTACATGACCAAGCTGGGAATCAGTCCCTGGTCTCCAGAGCAGTAGTCTAGCACTCAAACCACTATCCTGGGTGTGTGTGTGTGTGTGCGCGCGCAAGATTTGTTCAGAAGAGGTTTTGCCATTTCCTTTCCCTAAGGCTGAGAGAGAGTGACTTGCCCAAGGTCACCCAGTAGGTTTAAAAGTGAGCTGTTGTTGTCTGCCTTCAAGTTGTTTCCAACTTATGGCGACCCTATCCTGGTGTTTTCTTGGCCAGATTTGTTCAGAGAGGGTTTGCCATTGCCTTCCCTTGAGGCTGAGAGAGAGTGACTTGCCTAGGGTCACCCAGTGGGCTTACATGGCTGAGCTGGGAATCAGTCCTTGGTCTCCAGAGTTGTAGTCCAGTGCTCTCAAAGTACTATCCTGGGGTTTTCTTGGCAAGATTTCTTCAGAGGAGGTTTGCCATTGCTGTCCTCTGAAGCTGAGAGAGTGTGACACCTAAAAACACCCAGTGGGTTTACATGGCTGAGCTGGGATTCGAATAAAAGCTAAAAACACTCCTATAAAAGGTAAATTCATGCTTCTCAGTCCTGCTGAAAATGGAAGACCTTTCGGAATCCCTCCTGGACACAAGGTGGAAATGGAGGACATGTCCTGGAAAGGGAGGACGTCTGGTCACCCTGCCTCAGGGTGACCAGATGTCCCAACTGGAAAGGAAGACAAGGGGTCACAAAATGTGGGACATTCAAGAAAAAGGAGGACATGACCAAATGAAAGCTAAAAACACTCCTGTAAATGTAAATTCTTGCTGCTTAGTCACGCTCAAAATGGAGGACATTTTGGAATTCCTCCTGGTCAGAAGGTGGAAGTGGAGGACATGTCCAGGAAAAGGAGGATGTGGGCTCAGCCTGGGTGAGGGCATCTACATTGTAGAAAGAATGGGGTTTGGCACCATTTTAATGGCCATTATGGCTCCATCCTACAGAATCCTGGGATGTGTAGTTTTGTGGGGCACTGGCACTCTTTGGCAGAGAAAGCAAAAGATCTTGTGGAACTACACTGAAGCAGATGGACCATAAAGGAGGACCAGGCCCTGTAAAATGTAGGACATTCAAGAAAAAAAATGTTTAAAACACTCATATAAATGTAAGTTCAGAATATTGTCCAATATCCTTTTAAAGGGGTTAAAACTGGATGTTGTCTTAAATGCATGGTTACATGAAACAAGTTTGGCTCACTTTTTAAAACTTTTTGTTTTTGGTAAATAGCACCCGAGGAAGGGAAGAACCAGGCACAATCCTCTGCTGCTATTTCAAAAACACAACACACACACACACAAAAAAAAAAACCTCATAGACATTCCCTAGGATCAGGCATTTAATATAGAGTAATGTGTAGTTTGGCCCCTAAGCCATAGACCCTCAGGCAATCCAAAATTAACTAAATGTTGTGAAAAGTATTTTTATTCCTGTACACAGATTTGTCACGTAATTACGTTCATTAATTTTTAAGGCTAAGGCAAGGAAGGGGGAACCTCTGAATTTAGGGGGTATGGGACCACGTCCTGCCCGCTTTGTGCACCTTACCAACAACGAATCTCTGATCATTGAGGGTGCATATGCACTGTAGAAATCATGACGTTTGATACCACTTTAAGTGCTGTAGCTCCATCCTATGGAATCCTGGCATCTAGTAGTTTCACAAAATCTTTAGCCTTTACTGCCAAAGTGTGTTGGTGCCTCACAAAACTACAAATCTCAGGATTCTGTAGGATGGAGCCGTGTCAGTTAAAACAGTGTCCAGCGGCATTATTAATACAGTATAGATTCACTCTACCTTGTGACTGGAAGTCTAAGGTTGCATCCACAAGGCAGAAATAATCTGGTTTGGCACTACTTTAACAGCCAATGGATTCTGGGAATGGTAATTTGTTGTGGCACCACAGCTCTGCACTATAGAAAGCATTGTAGAAATAATGCAGTTTTGACAGTGGCATTATAACAGGGGTGCAGGGGTTCAGATGGCATCGGGTGACACCCTAAGAGAGGGTGACCCCACTGCTCCCCAAACATCTGCCTTTGGACATAAACTGGCTGTGGGAGGAGAAAGGAGAGGTTTGGGGGGTATTTTTACATACAATTTCAAATTTCAAAAAAAATAATAATTAATTTTTAATTTAATTTTTAACAAATATATATTTTTTTAAAAAATTATTTTAAAAGCATCACATCTTACCAAATTTTCACTTTAAGCACGTGACACTATGCGTACGTAAATACACTTAGGCTGTGCGTCTGAGATCGTAATTTGAAAGTATCATTTTAATTGTGCGGGTTGTTTTATGTCACAACTATTACCATTTCATTCCGCGCTATAGGGGAATTGCGATTTATGAGTAACATTAGTACCAAAAACATGACAAAGGATTCTGTATGGTGTGGTGTGGGAGGAGGTCAATGTGGGGTGATGCCAGGAGTTAACGCACCGGGTGACGCCAACGCTAATGACGCCACTGGGTTTTGATACCACTTTGAGTGCTGTTACTCCATCCTATGGAACTGTGGGATTTGCAGTTTCACAAGGTCTTCAGCCTTCTCTGCCAAAGAGTGCTGGTAATTTATACAACTACAAATCCCTAGATTTTGTAGGATGGAGCCATGAAAGTTACAGCAGTGTCAAACTGCATTATTTCTATAGTTTAGATGACCCCTGCGTGAATGAAGCAAGAAATCTCTTCAGCTTTGGTCCTCCCCCTGTTCTCTGCCTTCCACTCTTATCCAGATTCTTGCTATCCTTCCCCACCTGCAGTGAGCAGACATAGCACAGAACTGCTTCTCCACATTGGCTGAAAGTGGAAGGTAACAGGGGAAAGGAGCAAGGCAGGAGCTCCTGTTATTTCCCATCTGGGATCAGATAGCACAGGTCTGGCTGAGAGTGCTTTGCATCCACTCCCACTTTGTGACATGGGAAGGACAAGGAGGAATGAGGGAAATCCCTAGGCAAAGTGTTCGGTTGGAAAGCAAACCACCCAGTGCTTTGGCCCAGGGACTTCATGACCACTAGGTCACCTGATGACATGACTATGTTCCCTATCATCCAGTACACGGAGGGCTGCCGAACGCAACCCCACCCCATTCCCATTCTCCAATCCTGCTCTTAAGACACCATCTCATCACACCACCACCACCGTCATCATAATTATTGTTTTTGTGTGCCTTCAAGTCATTTCTGATTTATGGTGACCCTAAGACAAACTTATCATGGGGTCTTCTTGGCAAGATTTGTTCAGAGGAGGGTTGCCTTTGCCTTTCTGTAAGGTTGATAGAGTGTGACTTGCCCAAGGTCTCATCATGGTTGAGTAGGGATCTGAACCCTGGTCCCCAGAGTTTACTCCAACACTGCACCATGCTGGCTCACATCATCATCATCATCATCATCATCATCATCATCATCATCATCATCTTGTTGTTGTGTTGTTCTGCCTTTTCCCTAGTTTGGGACTCAAGGTGGCTTGTGGTTGTCATTGTTGTTGTGTGCCATCAAGTCCTTTCCACCTTATGGCGACCCTGAAGCAAACCTATCCTGGGGCTTTCTTGCCAAGATTTGTTCAGAGGAGGTTTGTCATTGCCATCCTCTGAAGATGAGAGAGTGTGACTAGTCCAAAGTCACCCACTGGTTTTACATGGCCGGGCTGGGATTCAAACCCTGATCTCCAGAGTCATAGTCCAATGCTCAAACCGTTACACCACCTTGGCTCCAAGGTGGCTTACAGCAGTTAAAAGAGACCTAGCTACAACACATGCCAAATACAAAAACTAAAAAATATAATCAAATTATCAGTAAAATTAAAACTATTAAAAACAACAAATAAACAAAATAAAAAGTACTGTACAGCACAGTTCTGCAAGGCCCAGTCTCTTTGAGCAAAGGCAGTCTTCAAAGGCCTGCTGAAATAGATAGACAGATAGATCCTGAATGCAGAAAGATTACAGGGAAGATGCCTATATTAGAAGGGAGTACCAGAGCCTGGGAGCAGCCACTGAGAAGGCCCTTTCCCATCTTCCCACCAAATGTACCTGCAAAGGTAGGGAGAGAGGGAGAACCCACCCACCCCCTGATCTCAAAACAAAGGCAGCCTCATGTGGGAGAATACGTGACACCATCACATTTCATGGGTAAGATATTGCAATGAATTTAGCCTTTTCCACCAGGCAGATGGGTTTTGGAGTCTTTGCTGGTGTCATGGCCAAACCTCCAGTGGTACAGAAAAAGTCAGTTTGAATTAATGACCTTGTTAGAGGCTTTTGACACTTTGAGGCTAGGAAAACATATGAAGATTGAGAACAGGTTGGGAGAATGAAATTTCGTCTTTTACTATTGTGGTTGCACAGTTCTCATAGCTGGGGTGGGGAGGAGAGGGGTCCTGTTTGTACGTCTTGGATTTCTTTGCAGGTTCTGCTCAGTATAACCCTTAGAAGTCCATTTTTCATTATCCTCATCCTATGCAGGGATATGCACCCCAGCCTAGAGTTTTCTCATTTAACCAGAGGTGGGGAACTGAATTGTCAGCCAGGGAAGATCTGGGTAGAATTACTTTATAAGGACCAGTTCTGCCATTGATTGTGAAGGGATACTGGACCCCATCAGCGAAAGGGCTGGGATGCTTCTCTGCCGCATGCCATCGTTTCATCATTTACCACCAATAAAGCTTATCTTATAAGAGTTTTGTTTGTTGTTAACTGCGCTCGAGTTGATCACGACTCATGGCAGCCCTATGGATGAGACATCTCCAAGACCCTCTGTCCTCCACTGCTCTGCTTAATTTCTACAACCCCTTAATGCCCGTGACCTCCTTAACAGAGTCCATATATCTGGCATGTGGCCTTCCTCTCTTCTTCCTTCCCTCCACCTTTCCCAGTATTATTGTTTGTTCCAAAGAGTCCTCCCTTCTCATGATGTGTCCAAAGTATGACATGTGTCAATGTTTAGAACCAAATAAAGCCTTGGAGAGACCTGGAACTAGATGAATTTCCAAAACAGAAAAGGATGGAAACCTGTATATAATTCAAATGCTTCCCAAACTTTCTTGGTTATACTAAGACAAACTACCTTTTGCTTTAGCACATGTCCTTGTGAGAGAGATAAAAGGGGGGGGGGGGTTGTATTTGCTTTTAACGTTGAGATCCCACCTTTCTAAAATGCTATTAGAATGAAAAATAATAAAACCTAAAACAGCAGCAACAACGACACATTTACAACAGCAGTCCAATCCTCACCAACTTGAATCAGGTACCTCTTTGACCATTCTGAAAGAGTGTCAAGAGGAATAGCACTGAAACTCATCAGTGAGATTATTCCACAGCTTTAGGAGGATTACAGTAAAAGCTATCGTTCTATCCCTACAGAAGTGTTTATTTATAATCTATACTAAGGACCTGCTTTCACAGAATTGGTCTTGATAGTTTATCTAAAAACACTTAACCACACTGTATAAATGGAGAAATTAGTAATATTAATAATAATTCCAGCAAAGAGGGCTAAATTGGAGCCAGACCTGGGAACTGCAATTCATTTTGAATTGCTCTGTAGCACAACCCTGGATCTATTTACTCAGAAGTAAGCCCATGGAGTTCAATGAAAAGCTGATAAAATGTAGATCAGAGGTGGGCAGCTATCAAAGGCAACACTGTCATCACTCCCCTCCCTCAAGACCTTGGAGGACTGCATTCCCTGCTGTACCAACCACATTTTATCCCCCTATCAAGTGGCACCAGATGTGTTCTAGATGACAGAGGGAATTTTTTCCACATTTATTTTGCTCCCTTGTGTCATTTTTAATCCAAGATAGACCTCCCCCCTATTTTTTAACAAATGGAAGTGAATCAGATATTATTTTCTGTTCAATTCCTGCTTTTGAAAAGTTCTCTCATAGAATTATAGAATCATAGAGTTGGAAGGCATCTCAAGGGCCATCCACTCCAACCCCCTGCCATGCAGGAACTCACACTCAAAGCACCCTCAACAGATAGTCATCCAGCCCCTGTTCAAAGACCTCCAAAGAAGGAGACTCCACCACACTTTGAGGGAGTGTGTTCAACAGTAAGAACAGCTCTTACTGTCAGGAAGTTCTTCCTAATGTTGAGGTGGAATCTCTTTTCCTGTACTTACATCCATTGTTCCGTGTTCTAGTTTCTGGATTAGCAGAAAACAAGCTTGCTCCATCCTCAATGTGACACCACTTCAAAGATTTAAACAGGGCTATCATATCACCTCTTAACCTTCTCTTCTCCCCTTGGTCTAAAATGGCTGATGCATTTTAACCAGATGTCCCTTAAAGTAGGAGGGCAGAGGAATCATTTTTTTAACTCCTAGGGTGGGCTGCAGTTCACAAAAATGGTCCTGCAGGTCACATGTGGGCCAGAGGCCACATATTGCCAACTTCTAGTTTAGATAGATTTGTAGCTGGTTGACAGACCAAACCCAAAGAGTGCTCACCAATGTCTCCTCATCATTCTGGAGAGAAACAAGCGGTGTGCCACAGGGTTATCTTCTGGCAGTGGCATCAATGGTGGTGGTGGTGGTGGACCACACTGGGTGTTAGTTGGGCCCACCTCCCCTTTCAGGGCAGGAGGGGCGAATGCATGCCCTTGCTGGTTGTTCCGGCCCCAGACTTCAGTGAGAAACAGATAGGCCAAATAGAGTGGCTTCTGGCTGCTTCAGGGGTGTGCCGTTTAGATGATGCACACCCCAACATGGCCAGAAGCCACTCCAAGGCCACCTAAGGCAGCCCAAAGCTGCTGACAAAAGGAGCAGATTTAATTCACTCCTGCTGGTGGCCCATTTGGGACCATGGCGGCAGCGGACTACTTTGGGAGTGGGTCATCCAGTCGCTGCGGTCCTGGAGTGGCCAGTGATTGCTTCTTTTGGGCTTATCTGCTTTGGCCCTTCTTTTCCAAGGAGGCCCAGGACTGGAGAAGCAGGTGGAGTGCACACCATGGTGCAGCCTAGATGGCCAGTGTGACCTTTTGGCCACTGCCTCTGCCACCACTATCCCCAAAGTCCCCCCTCCCAGGTGACACCTGGCACCGGGATGCCACTGTCTCCTGGGCAAGATATTGTTCAGAATATTTATATATGAAGAAACAGAAGGCATGCTCCTCAGATCCACAGATGACAGCAAACTGGTCAGGATAGTTAAAGCCTCAGAGAACAGAATCAGCTCTCAGGATGACTTAAACAGATCAGAGTACAGAAGGGATGCAAAACACACTGAGAGAAAGAGAGAGAGAGAGAGAGAGAGAGAGAGAGACCAACAGGGATAATGCACAGTTCTCCATTCAACAAGGAAAAACAGATGCACGATTATAGCATGGGTAAAAACTGATTTGGCAATAATATATGTGAAAAGAATTAAGGGGTGTTACAGGCTAAACTTGAATCAACAGTCTAATTCTAAGGCATAAGCAGACGGGAAAGCTGATGCAATTCTATCCGTCATCAACAGAAATATAGTCCAAGGAAATAATCGCACCACTATTCTGCCTTGGTCAGACCTCACCTCAAATACTGGGCGCCACATTTTAAGATAACACATTAACAAGCTGACTAGGTCCAGAGGAGGGTGACCAAGATAATGAAAAAGTCTGGAAACCAAGCCTTATGAGGAACAATTTAGAAAGCTGGAGAAGCCTCGAGACGAGAAGATTGAGAGGAGATATGACAGCCATTTTCAAATATTTCAAGGGCTGTCACACGGAAGCAAGCTTGATATTTGCTGCATTAGAGGAGGGGACCTAAAATATATTCAAGTTGCAAGAAAGAAAATTTCAGTGCAACATCAGGAAGAACTTCCTGACCATTTGATAATGGAACTCAGTAGGTGATGTTGCTCACCAAGGATTCTGAAACAAATATTAGATGGCCTTGGTAGCAGCTTCACTAGGACTGGTGTCATCCCAGTGTGGTAACTCATGCTGTCACACCCGCAGTCTGTCTGGCTGGCACACACCCCAGCCACTTTTCTCTGCCAGCCAGGCTGCCTCTGCCATGGTGAGATGTGGGCAGAGGGGCTGGTGCCTAACAGTCCATTCTGTCTAGCCCAGCAGCCACACAGGAACAGGGGCCAGAAGGCACCGCATCCCCCAGCAGCAGCTGCTGATGGGAAGGGCAGATGCTTCTGTCACTGGAAGACCTCTTTGAATCTGTCACGACTGCTGAGCAAGCAACAGAGGGAAGCAACACCCATTCTAACTCACCCAGAATCTGTGCCAGTCCCAGAAGGGGCTACTGGGTGATAGCAGCATGCCACCCCCACCAGTGGCCGCAGCAAATGGACAGCAGAGGCACCCTGGCTGGTGGAGGAGGGTTCTTGGGGGGTGTCTTGGGACAGACGGGAGTGGCTGTCCCACTGGACGTTTACTCTCTCCCTAAAGTGTCACCCAGTGTGGTCTGAACCCCCTGCACTTGCCTAGTGACACCCCTGGGCACTGGCCATCTGTGAGGTATACTGTGGAGTCTCTGCATTGGCAGCACATTGGACTAGCCAACACTTGGGATCCTTTCTAATTCTATCTTTCTGTGTATGTGCCTTCAAATTACCTGCCAACTTAATGTGTATTAAGGTGATGCCCTAAGGAGGGGTGACATCATTGCTCCCCAAACATCTGTCTTTTGGTAGAACAGTCTGTGGCATTTGCCTGTGTCTCTTTAAAATGCTGAGTGAGGCTCAGTGGAAGGAGAAAGGAGAGCCTCCAGG